CAGCTCGGCGCTGAAATCCGCCCCCAGCATCGGGAGATGCAAAATCTGGGCTCGGGTTTTGGCGGTAAAACAGCAATCAGTCCTCAGGGGCAAGTCTGGAAAGGCAGCGGAAAGGGCCAGGATCCCACAAAGACCTAAGTGGCCACAGCACAGCTGTGATACCTGTGTCTGAGAGACATCCCAGAGAAACGTCTGTAGACCTTTTTTTATAATCTTTCCCTCCTCAGGCATCAGCATGGTTATGGGTATTCACAGTAGAATTCCATAGGCCCCTGGATTTCTGTTCTCAAACACTTCCGTAACTTGAAACTCTGTCAAAACGTGCATGTCAGAGATGTTAAGTATCTAAGATCATCTGGCTGCACACATAATAATCCACGTGCCATTGTGGGAACTTGGAGCATACGCGATGCATCTTTGACAGTACTAAATGAAAAATACAGGTGGTAGTTAGCTTTCTTTAGGAGGTAAGATGGTATGATGGTATCCATCTTTTATAAATACACAGTCCAAGAGAAGTGGGAGTTCAGTGTTGTGTGCACAGAAACAAATTCAAGACTAAGACCCAACAACATCTCTCTCCCGAACTGGTAGCTCAGTCAGATGCAGTGATCTGGATGGCTGCGTTCACAACTGCTGCATAAAACCTGGTCACTTCTTCCACCACCATCATGGTATCCTAAAAGAGTAACCCCATAGTCTACTTGCAGAAAAAATGGACTGTAATAGTTTTCAGACCCCCTGATAATATGGATGTCTAGATCTGTAACTCCCTTTTAGGCTTGAATCTTCCTCTAACTCACAGGCTTCAAGGAGAGAAAAATTCCAGGGGAAGGTCAAGGATTTTTTTTTTTTTTTTTTTCTGCAGCATCTGACTGGAGCAGTGTAGGTAGCTGCCACTCAGTCTGCTGTTTGCATCCCATCTGAATTCCACTTGGGATTGCACAAGTCTGCCCATGCACTCCAGGGCTAGCTCATCACTGTGGATTCTGCTTTCAAGCAACACGCCTAAAAATTTAGGTGTCATCACAGTGAATGTCATAAATCAAGTCTCTTCATTGATCCCTATTGGGCTTTTTCTTCTTTATAGTTAAGTACAAATGGTCGATCATTTTGACGAATGTTGTTTCTGTAAAACTGGTCTCATGAGAATGTACTTTAAGGTTATAAAACTTTTTACAGAATTCTGTATATGCCTTTCTGCACAGTTCAGTAAGCTTAAATGATACTAAATACAGTTTATTAGCCCATAGAATTGATTTTGGTTTGTCATATGTGTTTAAAAAGAGAGAGAGATATTCCATGATAGTGAGACTGAAAAACTTTCTGAAAAAAAAAAAAGGTTTTTGAGCACGAGCAGATATGCACTATGCTGTGCAATGAAAGTAGTGTTTAATTTCATACTAAATGCTAAGAATTTTATGTTACTCATTCGAAACCATTCAATATAAAGCTTGATCCCCATGTACAATTTTAAAATCTTTGAGTTTAAATTAGCTTTACAAATGAGTTATATTTTGAAAAACCTTGCATATAAGCATGTTTTAGTTTTAGGACTGACTTCCTATTCAAAGCATAAAAACGCTATACAAACATAGAATGCTGGTGTTGTAGAGAGGATGGGCTAAGAATGGCACTGTGTCAAGATTTAGAGGAAGAGATTATATCTGTTACTACATCAACTGTTACAGTTTAGTTAAAAAAAAAACCACAAAAAACAAGCTCTGGGTTCCTGTTCCACCCTGGTATATCAGTCAGCCTAGTAACATTTTCCTAAAACATCTTTCTACAAACTGTAACATGAACATTTTTTAAAAAGCAAGATGATTTTCATGCACATCCAACTCAGACGTTTTACTGGTCTATCTAATAATCTATATTGCTCTCTTGAGAACAATAGCAGCAGTTCTTAGTATTCTGTGGAAAAAAAAAAAAAGTCAGTTTTATATAGATTAAAAGTGCATTTGGGTTTTTTTGCAGGTAGTTCATGTGTATGTCAGCCAGGATACAGGATGGTTTCTAGTAGTGGTGGGTCCTCTGTTATTTGTGAAAAATGCCCAGAAAATATGGTAAATATTGACTTTTTCATGCTTTTCCATAATAATAATGTTTTTTTAATTTTAAATTTCCTCCTGACTGCAAGTTATTTTTCATTAATTTAAAATTATTTTGCATAGTAGTCTTTGCTTGGGAATATTTAAGACCATGCTTATAGGTAATTATTTTTTTTCTTTAGAAGTGTTTATTACTGTTATTTTGCAGGCATTTTTTCATTTTAAAGTTGACCCCACGGGCAAAGTAAGAGTATTTTAAATGTTTAATTTCCTTCCACTGCTTTTCTGCTTCATGTTCTGTTATCCTTGCCCAGAGACCACTGTTTTATAGAATGCCAAAGATGCTTTTCAGCTCATAAGTATCTTATTTGATTATTTATATAAATCCTATTTTTGTAATATTTAGGCTGTATCTTCATAGTCCCTGCTACTTTGTCTTTTTACTTCAAAATGAGCTGCTGCTATTATGTTACTTTAATTACATATATCTTTGTAGTTTGGTAGTTTTGTAGTTTTAGTACCTTTCTTGAAAAATTAAGCTATAATTTTGGGTCATATTTACAGCGTTGAGCCAGAGGCACCAGTCTTAACCAGCTTTTCCCTGCTATAGTAAATAGAGAAATAATTTTTCTCCAGCAAAAACAGCTTTTCAGGCTGAAAACCTTCCTGATACTTCTTTCTCTCCAATAACTATAGAAGAACTTTCAAGAAACCACCCAGCTTAGTTGCATAAGTTAGGTGTTTAATGGCTAATGGGTAATGTAGGTAACTTCCCTTTTCTTTCCATCTTCTTGCTACATTAGATGAACTTAAGAGCACTTTTTTAGTCTATGTCTGCATAGGAATTACTTTTGCCAGATTGTTTAGTCTTTTCTTATCTTTAAAAGCTTCATTAATGTTATTGATGTGGTTGTATCTGAACACATTTTCTACTAAATAACATCTGGATCAGGCATTCTTCACAGATATTGGATGATGTCTATATTTTTGAAAATAATAATAGTTTTACATTTTATTTTAGAATGGTGTTACTCAAGATGGGTGGAATTGTATTATTTGCCCTAAAGGCCTAACTTCAGAAGGAAAATGTAAATGCCTCAATGATGAAATATTAGGTAAGAAATACGTGCAAGTTATGAGATATCAGTGCTTGGTTTAGATATTTGAATTTACTAAGATATGCTCTTCTGTTAAATAAGAAAGGAATTTTAATATATGTTTCCATATGTAATGTAAAAATTCAACATTCCTCTTGATCTTAAACCTCATTCCTGAAAGACAACAGATAAACCTGTACCATTGTTCATTGCAATAAAAACTGTTATGCAAACATTAAAAAAATGAATATTGGTGTATCGCTTCCTGTAAGATCGTTGGCACTGGGTGGAGGCATTAAAATTGGAATAAAACCAATGTCAATATAGGCTAAGAAAAAACAGTGAAATGGTTTGAAGTATATAATGTGTAGGTACTTCACAGTACAGGAATTATATGTACATGAGTAGGTGGAACAGAATAGCCAGAGCAAGCCAAGCAAACTACTGTGCATTAATGAGTGGGTTTTTTCCACATTCAGAAAGAATATTGGTATTGTAATTCTTTTGATTCTCTGTATCTCTTTTTTTTTTAATAATTGGTCTTGAAAGATTTTGCCAAATTATTTAATTACAGGAAGATGTAGTTTTGAAACTTTCAGTTTGTGACATTTGCATGATTAATTTGAGATTAAAATTAAAAATATTTTGCTCAGTAATTTGTAAGCTTGATGGTTTGAGTTTTAGCTTTGCAGCGAAGCCTTTATTTGAAATTTGGTTCAGAACAAAGGAACAGCAAAACTAGACATGAAATATTTCATTTCTCATTAAAAGTAAACTGCATGCATGTAGCTATAAACAATGCACATGTACATATGTGAATGTGCATTTATAGTGGATGTTATTTGCAAGTTGTGCTCTTGATTTTTTTTTTAAATAAAATCTTTGCATTTATTTTAGATCTGCATAAACACTTTATTTTTTTACACTTTTCTTAACCCATGTGACATACTGTGCATCATGCAATTTTATCACAGTTGCTTTTTTTTTTTTTCCCACTTAGTGGAAAGAAGTATGGATGGCATTTTGCTTAATGAAGCATTGTGCATACATTGTAATGGAAGTGAGCAAGCATTCTCTGCTCCAGATGTGTCAGGAAATAGGTGAGTATTCTTTGCTTTTTGTGATGATAAATTTGAACGTGTTTTGTTCTTTTTAAATGGAATGTTCTTGAGGAACAAGAGTTGAGGAACTGTACATTTGGGATGACAGTTTTAAAAGCAGTGAATTGGAAATCCTTAACCCCATATCAAAGTCAATATGTTTTGTGTTCATTGAAGTCTTATATGACCAGCGCCGCCTTTGTTTTGCTTCAGTGTGACTAAAAAGTGGGCTTTGGATCGGAAGGAGAAACAGAATTCTTATTTTGATAGTTAACGATTTCATTTCTTTGCTACTTCACTGTCAATAGGAGCAAATCCGTAATGTCTTTTGGTTTTCAGTTTGAACTAATGAAGATGCTGACAGTGTTATCAGGCATACTATGTAATCAGCCTTCACCAAGTACTAAATCTCATACTTAACTACATTTTCAGTGCATTCTTCATGTTTGTGATCCATAGGTGTGTAAGATGTGAACAAACATTCATCAATGTCAGCAAGTCTTGTGACTGCAGCAGCCCAAACATTTTAGTAAGTAGAAGAATGCTTATTGTCTTGAAGCTCAGAAAAAGAAAAATTATACCCCTTTGGCTAGTTTGGGTCAGCTGTCCTGGCCGTGTCCCCTCCCAGCTTCTTGTGAAAACTCTACCCCAGCCAAAAACCAGGACACAAGCGTATAAATTTCCATTTTTTTTTTATTTTTTTTTTTTTCAGACTGGAGGATTGTGTTTCAGTGCTAGTGAAAGCTTACCTCCAAAGGGACTTGCAACTGTTCGTTTTGTACAGCTAGTAAGTGTGTTTATTCTCAAACATTTTTCAAGCTATTTAGTTATTTACTTTCAGCAAGTCTTTTAAATTCCGTTCCTGAAAAACAAAGGTGGTGGTTTGTTGTCGATCACGGTGATTGCAAGGTAATTTGCATCAAGATAGAGTGTAGACGTGTAGATCAGGCAAACATTGTTCTAACAGAATATGTTTAAGAAAATTCATGCCCTCTAGGAAACTGAAAAAAAGGGAAGTAATTCACATGAATTTAGTATCAAAACAAGTAGCACGTGGTCTATTGTATTAATTATATGTATTTAAAACACACTCTTGCATGTCAAAAACATGCTGAAGAGTCCATGAGGGCCTCTGGGCTTTTTTTTTTTTTCCTTTCTTTCTTTTTTTAATATGTAAAATTGGTAGTCATATAAAATATTTTAAAGAAGATGATAGAAGGATTGAAGGGCCATTTTTAGTTGTCAGACAGTTAGAGCTGATATAGAAGAAAATGGACACCTATACAGTTTGAGATTGTATATGGAATTGTTGAACTCCATGAATTGGCTAATGATTGAAAATATGTTCTATTGAGAAGAATGAAGGTGTTTTATCTAATAATAGATAACGATGATATCTAATGATTATTAGTTGTGAATTCAGCTTGAAGTTAGGACTATTTTCCAAGTAGTTCTGAATTCAGGAAGTGCTATGTGCCTAATAAATGTAGTTTGTTCTTAAATTAATTAATGTTAAAGGCCACTGCTTGAAAAAAGCAAAAAGCAGTCATCAGTTTTCCTGATGGCAAATACTAGTCTGGCTTTCTGAAAATGCCATCTTCTAAATATTTTATTGAAAATGTGTCTTTTCAGTTGCTTACAGTATGTACAAAGGCTATGTTTTGTTCAAATATGAGTAGTTACATAAAGCAGGTTGTGAAATAATTAATTCGGCAAATTTGGTCCCGAGTTAAATTTACCACCTAGTCAATGCTTTACCCTTGAAATCGTTAGTACCTCCCTTGTGCAGTAAAGACAACTCCTTTGTCACAGAATCCATATTCAAAACTAAAATATTTCTGCTTTCATTCTGTATATTTTGTCTAATTTAGTGAAGTGAAAGAAAGTATTGCATTATGGTTGTGTTTTGAACTGAGCTGGTTTGAAACATCTACAAAAGACAGAAAGCTCTTAAAAAAAATAAGTAGCATCTTTTAGCTGACATAGTTTTCCAGATTGCTATATTATGGGTAAATTGTTCTGGACAAAGACAGTGAAGCAGTTCCTTATTTACAGGGTATAACACTGACATCAGCATGGTTTCTGAAAAACCTGCAGTCCTCAGCCTCTGCCTGTTGGGTGAGTTTCATTAATGTTTGCAATTTGCTTTTTTTATACAGAAGTGATACTCTATAAAAGCATGGCCTTTAATTTTTGGAAGTTAGCTTGCTTATTTGTAAGGAATCTTATTTTGAGATGACAGTAGATAAGAAAGAAATATATATATACAGAATGTTTAGAAAGAATATTGAGTGCTAGTCAATGTTGATGCAAGTTTCCAGGATTGGCATCTTCACAAGGTGAATGGTGTTAAAGAAAAAATCCTGCAGTAGTCAGTAGGTATATGATATTGAGTATATCCAGTAAGGGAGCACTCAGCAAATTAACTTCTTACATATTCAGTATTGATTGGCAGCTGATCATTACCTCTTACTTAGCTTTCAGTTATTCATTTTGTTTTGTGATGGAGAAGGATAACTGTAGAACCATCGTTTTTAGCTTTGCTTTATGTATGCAAGTGTTATCTACCATTCTGTTGCTCTGGGTGGCAGTAACCATGCACTTCTCAAGGATGTTTCTCCTTCCCAGGCTCGCAGTTCCCAGGCTGGCAGCCATTCGCTCTGTCAATATTTCAGCAGACTTCTGTTCAGTATTTTTCCCAGATCACCTTTGTGGCTGCTCCCATCACCATCTCATACACACACCTCTGAGATGTATTCTCCTACTTACCCTATTCTTTTTAACAAACTGAGACTATCCTCATCACTTGCATAACTTTATCCTGGTTGTCTGCCTCGGCCTGCTCAGCTCTTCAGAGGTGCTGCCTGAATGTAAAGTACAACTCCTAATCTGGCCCACACAAAGGCAGTAGGTGGTGGCAGGTTAATACTAGTGCAGTGATCACTGCATGCAGATGCCAGGCATCACTTCTGCCTGTCACGTGGCAGTGGTTTCTTTACCAAAATTGAGCAATGGTATAAATACAACATAGTTTAGGAACAGCAGAATAGAAAAAGTACTAAAACTGAAAAGAAGATATTTAAAATACATGCAACGATAGTTGTCAGTCTTAAGTCTTTGATGGAGTCATGTTTGTCATACAGCCTAAGTAATGTTAAACATTTTGATTCTTACTTCATTTTCTAAATGCAGATTTTGACATTTCTGACACATCATACCATCTAGCTGATGCAACTAAAATAAACTGAAAAAGCAAGAGCATTGATTTCATGTTGCCATCTGCAGACCTATAAAAAAATATGGAACCTGAATAGTTGGGAGAAAATATTAGGTGCTGACAAAATGAAATTACTTTCAAGTAAAAATGAGGGTTTAGGAGCAGCTTATTAAAGATAACATTCATTTTATGATTGGCTCACCAAAAGGAGGGATAAATAATCACTTTTCTGTGTTCTTCTGTTTCTCCACTGCAGTTGTACTCTAATCTAACAGCATGCCAAGCTCTTGGAAATATGTGTGTGATGAATATGAACTCACTGAGTTCTTCAAATACTGATGCCTGTGGTTTATTTCAATATATTTATATCAATACAGCAAGGCTAGGCATTGTTCATTCAATAGCCTTCTGGTAAGTTGCCTTTTCCATAACTTTTGGTCTTAGCGTTTTATGGAAATTATTATTCTAAATGTTGTTTGATGCAAAACATTATGTTTCTTTAGAGAAAACATTGTAATTGTTTTCAGGAGGCATAATCTTCCATGGCTATATTATGGTGATCAACCAGGATTAGCATCCCAAGTGCTTGAGGCAAATCATTTCCCTACCATCTTCAGTTTTAATGGAACAGATAAGGTAGGTGTTGGGTAGTATACATGGGGAAGAAGACATTAGGGAGGACATAGTCACATAAAGAGGTTTAGATTTATTACAGATGTGGCTTTACTAAAGATAATTTTTAAGCAGTTAGTGTAACAAAACTCAGTGTGAGATCTTATGGAAGAGGAATGTGATATTTATGTAAAAAATCTCTAGATAAGATGATTTTACTGACTTATACTCTCTCACTCACACATTTGCTTTGCTCACACTTTCATACCCACATTCTCATAAGGCCAAGATGTGCTTGCCTGACCAGGATCAGTTGTGTGTGACACAAGGAACAAGGGATCCCTGCTATTCAGCCCTCATTGTGTCCCCAAGGTTCTTCTGGATTGGCAGTGATGAACTAGGAATTAGACAAATCTTTTATACCCCTTAGGACTTAATAGTTGTTTTGGCATTGTTCTTTGCTTCAAAGTCTTGTTTACTTCAATCTCCAGAAATCTGAGGCAAAGTTGGTCTTTGTCTTTTTCCCTTGTTTGAAATATATACATCCTTTTGTCAGTTTTCCTGGTGAGCTAGTTGGAAAAAGAGGGTATATGTGATGTGCTGTAACTTTGCTGCCATTCTCCTGATGCCAAAGTGCAGGGTCTTTTGCTGACAAGTTGTCTGTGCCGTGTTTTTATCACAACCCATTTCTCAGCTTTATTGCTGGGAACAGTGTTCTTCATTATTACTATGTGGTGTTTAACCCTTTCTTTTTGTTGCCTCTGATGCTTACACACAGATTTTTACCCCTACTTCATTTATACCAATCTTAATATTTCTGTTACAAATCTCTGAGTTGTATTAGAGACAGTTTCAATTACTCCAGCCTTTCCCTCTTCCTACACTGAATTAGGGGAAAAAGAAAGAAAAGAAAGAGGTGAGGAAAATCAATCATTTCGGTGTTCACAAAGCCAGGTATCCTTTCCTGGGAGGGACGGACTGCTGAAGTAGCTTGTTAACTGGCACAGTTTTAAGAAGGAATCAAACAGTAAATCAAACAGTAAAGTGTTTTATTTTACAGATTCATTGTATAATTACAATAACATAGTTTATTCAAGTTAAGCTAATCACAGAAAGTAATTAGTGCTAGTGATAACCAGTTTGTTGGCAATACTGGCAAATTTATCCTAAGTTTTCTTATTGACTCAAAAATAAATTAATATATTTTTTCAGCCATATTCTAAAAGATTGTGTTTTAAATTAAACAGTGTTGCAGTGCAGCAGTTCTATTTAACAACTAAAATACTTGTTATTCTTCCTAACACTGAAGGTACAGGAAGCCCTCAAGATCCCAGCCTGCTATACATTAGAAAGCTGCATAGATTTCTGATTGGTTTAAGGCATGTCTACCTGTGTAGAAGTTCCTTTGGAACTTTTTCCACGTCACCAGTGAAGCTGTAGAAGAGTGGTGAAGTATGTTTTTTTTAAAAAAAAAGTAATATACCAAACCCAAAATTAAAAACATAAAATCAAAGGGGAAAAAATGAAGTATTATGCTGAATGGTTTAGGGAAGCATCAAACGATGAGACAGCAGTCCCTAAAATGTGTATGTCCACTTTATGGCAGTTTCATTGTTTCTTTATCCTTTTTCATCATCAGGATGTAAAGCTGCAATTTATTGCAGCCTCATTTGATGCAGCTGGAAACTTTCTGAAGTGGCAAAGTTTGGAAGGAGGCATCTTACAGGTATGTTTTATTTTAGTTGTCTTTTGTTAATACCATAACATTCTGATTGCTTTTAGCCAAATTAAGGCAAAAAACGAGAATTTGGTTACTACACCAGTGACTGTTTATAAGATAACTATAGAGCAAGATTAGGGAAAATAGCCCTTGATTCATGCTCATCATGATCTCTACAAAATCAAAAGTGTAAATTCAGAAACATTGCCTTCATCCATTGGACCAATATAAATTCGTAATATTGGAAAGCTCTGAAAAACAGCACCACTCATTTAGAACCAACCATCTCTTTCTTCCATTCAGCATGCAGTTACCCATGTATGCAATTCATTATTAGCCCTCTTTTTCTTGTCAAGAAAAGTGTATTCTTTACCTCTCAGTCCATATATGTTAATAAATGATTCTATGAGTGTGTCCCTATTAGATGCTCTCACCTGTTTTCGCACATTATGGGGATGCCAAGCAAATCAGTGGTTATGTCACTGTCAGGAGAGGTAGGAAAACTGATCTACCACCCTATTTTCTTTCAATTCTCTTGGGATTTTTTGTTTGCTTATTTCTTTTGGGTTTAAATATAAAATTTACACTTTGGCCAGCAGTTGCCTGACTTTTTCATAGCAGAGTTATAAAATCTTGCTGGGAGACTTTACACAGAAATGGGGAACACTGGCTAGAAGATTTACACTTTGACATTCTACCCTCAGATTTCAGTGGCACACACACATTCTACTTCAGCAGTACCATGCTGTATAGATAGGGTGTGAAAAACGCAAGTAAGCAGCAAGTAGGAAGTGCAATAGTAATTAGACTAACAGCAGAAATTGCCAGCTGCAAAACATGTTACAGAGTAGAATTTCGTTAGCAGTCCAGTGGTGATCTAGGCACTCTCAGCAATTCCCTAGGCAGGCAACAATAGGAACACTAGCAAGAACAATTGGGAATTGTCTGTCCACTTTTCTAGGCTCTTCATGTCACTCTTGGAGCATGTCACTTCAAATACTCCAGTATCTACAGAAGAGCAGCTGACATTCAGGAGTTAGATAGTGACTGCTATGTCTTTTGTTACTGTCTCAGGATGAACTGTCTTGCATCTGCCTCTCAAACTTTAAGGCAAATTAGCGTCTGAGAAAACACTTTACTAAGCCAATTACTGTGCATATAAAATGATATATTCTGACATAGATTTTAAGGTTTATTGGGACACATTAATTTCCTAAAAGTAGAGCTTTTAATAGGTATCAAAAATCAATGGAAAAGGAATAGCTTTTCCATTTAAAGCCTCTTAATGTAATAGATTGTGTGTGATGATTAGACATCACAGTGCTAAAGCAATCTCGATGCATAATTGTAGCAGTTGCCAGAATTTCAGTTGCACACTAGTAGAATTGTGTTTTATGTAAATTTTTATTTTATTTTCATTTTGGGAAAATGTATATGCCCTCCACTAACTGCCATGCTCATTTAGTTAGAATTTGGTCCATTTTTCTGTGTTCTGCTTAGAATGACTTGTTCTTTGCAGAAAATGTAGACGTTACATTGAAAAAGGAAAAAAAAAAAAAATCTGTTACTTGCCATGATAACTTTGATCCTCTGAGAATGGTAGCTTAAGAGAAAGGGGGCAATATGAAGGTGGAATTCTTTTCTCATGGGATTGTTTGATTTAGCAGAAGCCACTAATAAAGCTTGAGGCAGCACAATGCATTGAACATTCAGTCCCCAAAAAGATTATTCTTGCCTGGTTGGATGCTGCTGTCCACAGATTTCAACTTTAATCATGGAACTGAAAAATACCGTCCAAGTATGAATAAGCTAAAACAGCATTTCAAGAACACCAGTATTAGTACAATAAGTAACCATGTTTACTCTTCAAAATCAATCCCTCTCCTTAAAAAATAGAGCAAAATACCTTTTGTGAGAGCTGTGTATACATAAACTGCTTGGGGTGCCTGTAAATATATCATGTGAGAAAATGATACCTTTGAATTAACCTAATTATGATTATGTTTTGTTCAGCTTTGTCCTGATACCCAAACTAAATTGAATGCAGCTTATGCATTTGGAACAACTTACCAACAAAGTGTAAGTAAGAGATAAAACGCTATTTTGAATTAAGTTGCTTTATATGTCATTGTAATTCAGTGCATATTGAAGGAGCTCTGGAGCTTAGCCATGAGCTGCAACATGGACTTCTTTCTTGTGAAACTGTTGCTTATTTTAATTTCTTTATTATTGAGTGAAATAAATGTCATTTATATTTTTCAATTATTTAACTATACATCACAAAACTTGTTTACTGCATAGGATAATCAAAATAAATTGAACTGGCATTTGTATTAGTGAGCTTGCTGACTTAACAGTAGAAGACGACGATGCCTGAATTCTGACAGTCATATACTTTGCATTGTAACCCCTAATTTTCTTTGGCCAGGTTTCATATGGAAAGAAGGTGTATGCAATCATGCCATGCCTGTACATTGTCCCTATTAACTCTTTAATGTATGCCCTGATTTCACTGAATTCAATAAAGAGTTTAAAGGCAAGTTTTAATCGAACAGATGACCATCAGAAGAAAGAGATTCTTTAGCTGTCTTAACTATGGAAAAAAGGAGTTTTCACACCTTACTAAACACCAGGAAAGGGAGATGGAATAGAGCACTTGAGCTGAGTATACTTAAAAGCTAAATTCAGTCAGCCACAGACATGGTTCTGCCAGCAATAAAGCTTCATTAGTTTGTGTCACTTGGGTGTTAAATGGGGAGGTGGTAGTCTCTTTGGCATGGGGGTGAAGAAATGACATCTTTATTTTTATAAAATTCTGTATGTGTGCACAGCATCTAATACCTATATATCCATGAATATTATTTATTAACTCGTCTACATTCAAAACCATTCCCCACATTATGTGTTGCAATGTGAAAATATATAAACTCTGGCTGCTCTTTAGGTGGTGTGAAAGTCTTGTAGTGTAATAGCTGTCAAAGCTTCAGTCCTTGAAAACTAAAGTGTTTACCAAATAATTTTGACAAGTCTTTGTTAAATATTTTTACTCTTCCATATTGTTTAATGTTGTTTAATCCATATGTCAGTATTTCAGACAGAATGGAATCTTGTTTTCTATTTAGGATCATTGAACTAGTCATATATGGGTTTGGGGGGTTTTTTGTGCTTTTTAAAATTCTTATGTATTTGATATATTGAGTCTGGAGAACTTGTTAAGTATTAACAACAGTTAATATTACTAGCTTTAAATACAAACACCATATATATTTACTTACTGAATATTTTTTAATGTAATTATTTTCATGGATTGTATGCATCACTATTTTTCTTAGAGCTTCACAGAAAACACGGTTGACGTGTTATATGAGTATTTAAAGACTGCATGGTTGTTCACATATGCAAAAAACTACTTACTTTTACCTTTAATTTCTTCACGCAATCACAGAATGATTGAGGTAGGCAGGGACCTCTGGAGGTCATCTGGTCCAACTCCCTGATCAAGCAGGGCCATCTAGAGCAAGTTTCCCAGGACCATGTCCAGATGGCTTTTGAATATCTCCAAAGATGGAGACTCCACAACTTACTGTGCTAGTGCTCAGTCACTCTCACAGCGAAAAAGTCTTTCCTGATGCTCAGAGGGAACCTCCTGTGTTTCAGCGTGTGCCCCATTGCCTCTGGTCCTGTCACTGGGCACCACTGAGAAAAGCTTGGCTCTGTCTTGTACACCCTCCCTTCAGGTATTTGTACACATTGGTAAGATCCTCCCTGAGCCTTCTGATCTCCAGGCAAAACAGTCCCAGCTCTCTCAGCCTTTCCTCATGGGAAAGGCTCCATCATCTTTAGTGGCCTGGGCTGGACTGTATCAAGTAGCTCCATTTCTCTCTCATACTGGTGAGCCCAGACCCAGAGCCAGTACTCCATGATTTCAGTATTTATGTTTCTTGATGTAATGTTTATGCTGTTTCAAATTTTTTGTCTGTGAAATTTGCTAGGATATTTTTTCCTAATCTCTTGAAAAATGTTAGCAGAGCTTCATTCTCCACAGTAGTCATTCTAGTCACTTGTGATCCTTTCCAAGAGGTTTGTATAAAATCAGCAGTGCTTTGTAATTGCTTGCATATAGCTGGAATGCCTTGTCTTTTGTGAAAAAAAAAAGGGACAGATTCCATGATAATTTTGTAGGGGAAGAATTCACAACTTAATAACATCTTTAAACGGCTAAAGTGCTCTTATTGTTTTAACATTTTTTTCTTGTAGTGCAAAATTTCGGTTTCCAAGATTTTATTGGATTTTGCTAACCCAATCTTTTATGACCTGTTCCTTGAATATACTGGTGATAACGGACAACAATATCTTTGGGCTGTGCCAGTTTTAAACTTGAATCTTCAATACAGTGAAATGTTTGTTAATCAAGGTAAGACTGTCATAACATTTCTGTGAATTTAAATAACGTGAATAACTTCAGATAGAAAGAATTTATATTAATTACTGTTACCAAGTTGTTTTTACAGATACCACAACACACCATAACTTGTTTCTGTTTTAAGAATTTAATATTTTGTGGGCAAGTTCTGATAGCGTTAAGTGCAAGCTTTGGTTCCATACACCAGCCCAATCAATAATATGCACAAATAAAGTAATTAAATCCATTATGTATTTGTTTAAGTTGAAAATAAATAATTTTACATCCTGAATACAGTTATATGTCTTATACAGTTATATGTATCATTTCTAGTAGTGTGTTGAATTAGTGTTTTTAATATCATGTGACTGTTATGTTTTTTCAAAGGTAGTAATATGAACAACTGGCTTTTGACTCGTCGATTTTTTTTGGTGGATGCACTAAGTGGAAAAGAGAATGACTTGGGAAAACTACCAAGAGTAATTCGGATTGCTAGCAAAATAACAATAAGGTGATTAATTGCATATAATATGTAGTGCATGGAAAATAAAGCAAATTTTGTGCAGTCTGCAATTTTATTGTCTTAAAATTAAGTTGGTTTATTATGTTGTTTCTAATACATCCTGTGCTGCTTTTTCTATTGCATACTTGGAGTAACAAGAGTTTCCATAGGTTGTTCTCATGGATGAGTGAGAAAACATAACATTGACTTGTGGGGGTTAGAATTACTGTGATTACTTTCAGGTACAATGGCTCAGACTATGTATGCATAATGCAAGTTAGCAGGCATTCGATCACCTCTTAGAAGCAGGTGTCATCTGGAAAGACCTAAAAACTCCTCTGTTAATTCTGTTTTGAAGTGTATGTTACTGACTATACAAGGATGCTATTTCATACTCCATATTCCTTTTTGCAGTGTTTTTACAAACTGTCGCCTATTCTGTTATACAATCCAAAATAGGCTTGTAGTCATTTAACTGAAACTGTGAGACCAGCTGCTAGGGTCATTACTGATGATTAATCTCAGCTGGAATATGCTTTGGAAGAACCCTTTTTTCTCCTTCTTTATGTAATGTCTTCCTCTGAGATGACTGTTTAAAAATTGAGATCTCCCTTTTCCTTCAGCTCTTCTTCATGACTCATTAGTTAAAAAGATTGCTGAGTAGCACTGAGTACTGATCCATACAAGTAATCATCTCGAAGATTAATGTGCTAACTCCATTTGCTGAGAATTACATATTACATTATTTCAAAAATTAAGGATCAGTTTATGTATTTTAGGAGAACGCCTTCTCACCCCCGCTTTGAAAAACGGATAATGCCATAAATTGAAAATACACATAGGAAAGGTCATTCTGTAATGTTTTGAGAAAAGTTACCTTTCGGAATTTACTTCAGTTGCAGCTATCATAATGTGAGCAGTAGGATTGATTCAGGTATTTTCTTACAAATAATCAATCCTTCCCAGCTTTCTCTTTTTATATATTTGTGTACATGCCTTCATACACTCCGGTTGCTTTTAAAATGTGAATCGCCATGTCATTGGGTTTGAAACTCACATTTTATTGATCAGGTTGTTCTGTTCATTTAGTATTTTCTTATTAATACAAATTTCAATGAATACTTTCCAAGCAACTCATCTGTTTTCTGTATTAAAAATAATACTCTGCTTGTATTTCTGCAGTATTCGTCTGTTATCTCATACTCAGAGAGGAACTATCTACCCTCCTCTAATTACTATTGGTTACACAGATGTGCTTGTCCAAAACCCTGAAACCCAGAGTGTGATGGTGAGATCTTTGTGCTATCTTAATTGAACTGATTTGTTAATCATACTTCTGGTTCTGTTGGAATTCCAGTTGAATGAATGTTTTTTTGGGGGTGGGGGGGTGTATAAAAAATCTAATAGGGACTTTCTAGTTCCGCTCAGTTTTGAAGTTGCAAGTTTTTAAAATAAAGCAGTTGAAAGTATTTTCTTTTTAAACTTAAAATACCTAGAATTTTACACTTAGTTGTATAATGCTAAATTAGGCTACAGTCCAAATAAAATTATGCACACAGAAAATAACAGGAAAAGTATTCTTTATGCAATGCACTGAAAGCAGCAATTTATGCAAGACATTGAATATTTTTATTTAAAGCAATGCATTAAGAGGAGGTTGTTATGACGCAGACATTTCAGATCACCTGTAGTTTAAGTTAAAATACTGGTAATATATCTAAAATATCCTTAAGTGTTTTGTCTGCTATGTATTATTTTGTGGCATATCTCTAAGAAATAAATAACCAAAAATTCATAGCCAGAGGAGTTGGAGATCAGTTTGGAGGATCTTTCTCTACTGAAAGCCACCGAATTCTGCTGTAGCAGCTGCAGAAAGGGCATTTCCTACTTGCCCTTTTGCCTGCCGTGATGGGCAGCAGCTCAGAAGTCCCATTCCTGTGTCTTGTTTGCTTGTTAGATCACACTGCTTTAAAAAGTGAAAATGTTGAGCTTAATGTAGTAAAATAATAATTCTGCTATTAAAAAAAAAATATTAACCTTTTCTGCTTATCATCTTCAACAGTTCAGACTTCCAGTAAAGGTAGATATCTAGCTAGGAATTTCTGGTGCTAGAAGCATTCCTTCTGTTCCATACTAGCTGCATGAAAGGAAAGAAGAGACAGGGAATTAGAAAAATAGAAAAATTAGTCAGACACTTCTTCCATGCCTAACTGATATCTATATTTAACCACAGAAACAGAACTGTTTTTAGAAAATAATTAATTCAAATGGCAATGGCAGGAACGATTATTTTCAGTTACTTTATTTTCTGTTATACTGTTTCACCCTTACGTCTACATCTGATGTACTTAGGTGTTATCAATTTTGGATGTCTTGTTGCATTTAACAAATTTTATGCAAGTAAAAAGATACATTGAATTTCATGCCAAGTTCTATAAACACTGAGCTTCTAGTAACTGAGCATATTTAGACTTAAATCCAAGTGAAGTGATAGAATGAGCTCTCACAGGAACAAATGTTTTGGGAAGCCAAGGTTGGGGGGAGGAGGGATTTGGTTTGGGGTGTTTTATTCTTTTTTAAAAAACTGAATTAAAAATACTATTCATTATCATACTTGTGTTAACTTTAGCCTTGCAGTGACAAAGGCTCAGGCCAGAATGTTTTAAACCAAGACTAACATTTTCTCTTCCTTGTACAAATCTTTCAGACCAAAGTCAAAATAGGTCTTAGGTTGGCTAGATATTTAAGCTAGAGGGAGTAATTTTGATGCTGCATGACAATTTTTATTTCATTCAAGCTGGAAAAATATTGATGTCTGAGCTATTTAAGATCTCCCTTTACGATTTTTGTATTGGTGTAAATACATGAAAGTTACTTTTAATCAACACTGATAAAAGGCAAAGTATCAAACCTTTGCTGCCTCCTTTCAGAATGAAAAAAATTACGCATATTTGAAAAGATTCTAATTAGGTACAGGTAGTAACTTGCAGAGAGCAGGCATCCATCCCCAGCATTACTGTTGGTAAAATCTGCACTAAGCCTAGCAGAGCACATGCTAGTAGTAAGCCTGGCACTGTCGCACACCAGTATGCAGCAAAAGAAGATATATGTTGTACTTGTATAGTAGCCCTAGGTGGGAATTCCCACCAATTAAAAATGTGAGAACTACCACTGTCTATAGTGGTTGTAGCATTTCAGAATTTCTATGCTTATTTCCTTTTTTATCTTAATATTCAGGTTTCCTTCTCAGTCAATTACGAGATGAATCAGTCAGAGGCTCAGATTCAGACTGATGTAAGTTGTATTTCCCTTTAATTTGTTGATAAAATTACTTACTTCAATTTTGTGGTTTTTTAAAAATATCTGCAAATAATTTTTCATTTTCTTCAGATCACGCTGGGTGTGTTGGGTGGGCTTGCAGTGTTATGGTCCCTTCTCAAGACTGCAGGCTGGAAGAGGCGTACAGGCAGCTCTATAATTGACTTGCAGGTATAAACAGCTGGCGACCTAAAAAAGGCACACACCGCCTTCTCTTTACAGAGACCTTTGCTATCATTACCTGTGATATAACTATTCTGTTTCTTAAGGTAACTGAAACAATTTCTAATCTAGCCGCATAGAACTGAAGTTAGGCTCACGTGAGGTCTTTTGCATTTTTTTTTTATTCTGATGTTGTCATTTAGGAAGTACTTTTGCTAAAAATAAAGGTATTTACAGAGCTATTCTGATCAGTTGAGTGGACTTAGTTTTAAGATAATTTCTTCTGTGAACAAAGAGTAGTGTGTGAGAGTTTCAGATACTGAATATACCATAAATATATGACCACAGTAGAAAAATTTTGTTTGAGGCTACTTTACAGTACTAGAGTTTCCTGTAGTGTAAGCTGCATAGCATTTTATATGAATGTACATATACATAATTAGTTTTACAGATCTCTACAATGTGTTTTATAATTGCAGACTGTTTTGAAGTTCTTACTGTTTTATGCTGGAGACCTTGCCAATGTTTTCTTTATCATCACAGTGGGCACAGGGATTTATTGGCTTGTGTTCTTCAAAGTAAGTGTTTTTCCAGATTTGGGTGGTATGAAAATCTATTAATATTGCATATATTTTTACACAAAAATTCATTTTCTTTCTTTTTTCTTTTTTTTAAATATTTTGCCTTTCTGGTCAGACTATTGAGGCAAGTCCTATATCATATTCTGTTTTGTGTGCTTAAATTTTTGTGCTCATCTGTTTCTTTTCCTTAGGATTTCTTGTACTTGCAGTCTGCTTAATAGTCACTTGAAATATTTTACAAATTCAAAATGATTGCACATTAAATATTGATCTTTTTCTGCAAAATGTTCACTCTTAAGCACTTAGTATGCTGTTACATATGCCATCCATACTACTTCAATGTAACTTCTCAATTATAGGCTCAGCAGTTTGTCTCTGTCCTTTTACCACTTCCATCTCAAGAAGAAGATTTTGTTACATACATAGCATGTGCATTTAGTTTAAAGGTAAATATTTTTCCTCAGACATTAAAGAGATTTCAATGTATGCTTCTGTATATTTTCAGTAGGCTTGTTTTTAAACATTTTGTACAGTTAATTTTATTAGTCTATAGACGTAAACAATTATTTTATTCTAAGAATTCAGTCATTTTTCCATAGAAATTTATTTTGTGGAGTCTTTATAGGGAAACAAATGTCTTAGGAAGATGATCTATGGGAAAATTATTCTTTCAAGGATAGAGGTGTAAAGAAATCCAAATAAAATAATACCATATGAAGCAAGCAAGTGCTTTCTTTTAAAGCAGAATATAACTGCTGTCGGTTCCTGATTAAAAAGAAGATAGATTAAAATAATTATATTCAAACATACTTGTAGAATCCAGAGACTGGTACTCTGTCTTCATGGGACATACAAGTATTTTATTAATTATGGGTATTATATTGAATTAGAATTCATAATACAGATGAATATGTTATTGGAAAATTCTTAGTCAATTTTTTTTAATTTGTTACTTTTCTGTATTTTCTTCGTAGTTTTGGACATCATCACATGATTTACTATTATTCCAAGCTTTTAAATTTAAAAAAAAAAGTATCAAAAGTTAGTAACAAAGTTGCAGTCTCAAGTATAGTCAAGTATATTTATTACTTGTCATGTTTAATGAATGACATGTGCAATGACTGTTTCTTCATCTTTGTATGCTGTTGCTGCCCTTACTTGTTATATTTCTGCTTTTTCTTTCTTAGGCTCTGCAATTCTTACAATTGCTGGTTTCACAACTTACTGTAGATATTTTCTTTATTGACTGGGAAAGACCTAAGGGCAAAGTCCTTAAAGCAGTGGAAGGTAACTCAAACTATGCTTGTTTGTATAACCAGTTTTGGTTAAATTTGAATATTACTCTCAAGTATTAAATTTCAGTGCTTTATTGTATTTATTCTTTTTAGGTGAAGGTGTTATTAAAAGTGCTGCCTCACCGGTGAGCATATGGAGGACATATTTTATAGCAAATGAATGGAATGAAATTCAGACAGTGAGGAAGATAAAGCCCCTCTTTCAAGTGCTTGCAGTTCTTTTTTTTCTGGAGGTATTATTACTACAATTATTATTGTTATTAATTTTTTATAATTCACAACCAGAATGAAACATAAGTGTCTGGTTTTAATTCTTGCATTCTCTGTGGTAATAGTGGGTGACCTTCAAGTTCATTTGAAAACATGTAACTTCTTAGTAAAATAATAATTTTAATACATTTTTTAATTTATAAGTATAGGTCATTGCAGTATTTCACTAAGGAAGTCTTAAAAAATCAAAACCCAACTTTTAATTATCTGAGAGACCTTTCTTAGTTTTGTTTGTTTGTTTGTTTGTTTTTAAAGTAATGAGTTACCCTAAATGGCTTAAGAAACTGATAAATCTGTGTACATGCTCAATTCTTTATTTGCCTACTGGCTCTCTCCTGCCACAGTCTACAGCTTTATTTCTGG